AGTACCAAACAGTCCTAATTATAATTCATTGTAGGAAATAAAGTGAGTTTTCTTAAGTAAAATGGAAAATGTATCACAAGAAACAGCTTTAATATAATAACAGGACTGTCAACAAAGTCAGACACCAAAACAAACCTAATATGCCAAAGGAATACTAACTGAAAACTGAATAACTGCTCTAATAATACCATGTGTTTTTTTAGATTATTTCTCAATCCTTTACACTCTCCTTTGTCTTATTATTAATAATAACAATCCAAGGCAGAAGTAAGTGCCTTAGGAAAGAGTACAAAATTTATAAACAGCAGAAAGAAAATAAAAGAACAAACTAAACATGAATGTGTTTGCCCCCATCACACCTTTCATCAAGGTAACACCAGCAATGAGAACAAGATGGTGGGTAAAATGACTTCACTAGCTGGTGGGCAACTATTTTGGGAAGGCTCAATTTTAGTTTTAAATTCCACCAAAAAAGGGGCACTCGTCATTCATGTCTTGAAACAGAAAATTCTTTAACTAATAAACAGTGGGTTGTGTGATTTACAGATTATAAGGTAAGAAGTCAGAGGTGGTGCCACTGCTAGGTATAAATGACACTGGCTCTGCCTTTCTCATTGCCAAAAGTCACCTCCTGCTGTTAGTCTGGTCCATTGCCTCTGTGAACATCACAGCCGCATTCCAAAGCTTTTTTTTTTTTTTTTTTGTCTTTATCTCTGGATAGAAAACTATCCACCTTCCTCCAGCACACTTCCTCTTACAAATTACTGACCAGAACTTAATCACATGACTAGTCAGAAGACCAATCACTGCTAAGGAGAATGCAATTATCATGGCTGAGGTTTTTTTCTATTGATCAGGTATCGTCTCTCCTCCTTGTTGAAATAGGGCATTCCTGTTCCCATCCTCCATCCCCAGCCACCTGGAGAGAGGTGGGATAGACATCAGTATTTTGAGGTGGACGTCAAATATTTAACTCAATTATTTTTAAAAATCCATATGACAACTATAAAAGGGCTCCTTTATATAAAGAAGCATAACAGTCAATATCACTATCTAGAGCTGGCTAAAAGAACACCGTATCATTACATAAACCGGGCACCAGAAAGCAATGAACTATTTTACTTGCTAGGTGAGTAAGAGCCAATAAATCAAAGCAGCTTTTAAAAAAGCAGAATTTCTCAGTCGACAACATGAATCAGAAGAAACAATCTAAGTTCTCTTCAATTTTACACTTTCCAATGTGATCTAGCTGAGCAATCTTATCCAACCTCACCTTTCTCTAGTCAGTTTCTGCTTAGGGAATTGGGGAGCAGAGGGAAGGAACACATGGGTTTATACATGTCAATCATCCCTTTTTGTTTTAATTAGCATCCTCTCTCATTTAGGCAATTTCTTCCTTCCTTGAAAAGCAGTGTCAGGGTCAAGTTATCTGATAGAAAGAAAGAAACACACGCTCACACACACACACACACACACACACACACACACACACACACACAAGACACCTTTCTGTATTTGGGCTTTCAGTCATAACTTTATGATAAAGGAAAATTCAAATATCCCAAAGAAACACAGAATACAAGCCCTCTTCTATATCTTCACTCTACAGACTGCATTCATCCTAATATTAGAACCATTAGGCTGATCCCTTTCTGAAGTAGGAATGCAATTTCACTAAGTTTTTCTCATTTTTAAGCTAACCTGAAACACAAACCCCAAGCCCCACAAATACAACCATCTTTGCAACCTACGTGCTTTGGGCTGAAGTTGTTTTTGTCTCTGGGAACACCTAATTTTCCAAGTAATGTCATCATTTGTCATTCAAGTATTATCACAAGGTATAATTCAGGGTCCATCTCAGATGTCCCCTTTTCCTCCATGCATGAGGATAACCCAAGCGCCTGAATCATTCTTCACAGGGCTCATTCATGATCCAGTCTATCTCTCAACTTCCCTAAATTCTTTAGCTGACTCAAGAAAAATGCAATGCTGTATTATAGTCCCCAGAAACAATGAGACTAAAAGGGAAGCAGACTATAGGTGAAAACAGGAATATTGCCTTCATTCTTCCTCACCTATTTGGGGGAGCCTTTAAAGCAATACAGGTGGAAAAGACCTAGCAAAGGAAGTGGGAAAGCTCAAGAGAACACAGTAAGGAGGATGCCACATTTGACTGGTTTTTCGTCTCTTTTTTCTTTTGAGGGGGTGACAGGAGGTTTGAACTCAGGGCCTCACACTTAATAAAGAGGCACTCTACCACTTGAACTACACCCTAGCCCTTTTCTGCTTTAGTTATTTTTCAAATAAGGACTTGTGTTTTTGCCTGGGACTGGCCTAGGACCATGATCCTCCTACCTAAGCCTGTCTCTCTTACCTATGCCTCATATGTAGCATAGCTAAAACCATAAGCAGGTACCACTACACCTGGCTTTTGTTGAGATGGGGGTCCTAGGTAACTTTTGCCTGGGCTTGCCTTGAACCAAGATCTTTCCTATCTCTTCCTCCTTACAGATATGAGCCAACGTGCTGGTCTCAACTGGTTTACCTATACTCCAGAGATTCTCAATCTGCACACATATACACAAACAAAGAATGACTGCTAATTCTGGTCAGGTTTTTTTCTTAAACACACTACAGAAGTCACTGTAATACCGGAAACATTTGCAATACTGAGACATCTGATGACAATTACAGGAATCCTGGAAGGGGAAAGAATGCTCAGGGAAGGCCAGACACCCATGCAATTATAAACCCCAGCTCAGCCCGAGCCTTCTCCACACCATGCACATCACTGCCAGCAAGCAGGGGTGGTAATGCTACTCTCCACATTCCCAGGCAGATCCTAAGGACAGGCATGCGCACACACACTGTTCCAGACAGAACACCACTACTTTGGTTTCACTGGTTTTCTCATCCTTTGAAGTAAGACACTTCGTGACTGTCATGAGTTTAGTTCCCAAGAGTGTGAGATTTATGGGAGCCAAGACTTTCATAGTAAAGAGATGATTTAAAAGTCAAACCACTGAAAATGTTAGTACAAAACTAAAACTTTCTAAGTTCCTTTATTACTTAAATTAATCCTTGCGAAATGCAGGGAAAAGGGGTGGGGAGGTAAAGGTTGTGGTCAGAAGGAGAAAAGGTACTCACATTTACTGAACACGTCTATGAGCAAGTTACTTTCAGGATTAGCAAAACTTGCAATGAAGATGGCACCCTGATTTTAATGACAATGCAAGCTCAGAACAACAACATACCTAATCCCACAGCTCTAAAATAAGGACAATGGGTTATGGCCCCAAATCAATTTGACTCCAGAGCCCATATTCCTCCTCCTAAGCCAAACTGCCAATGGGTCAGCAAGAACATCAAACAGGAATAGGACCAGAGTAACCATTCAAGGTACAACTGACTTCATTTCTTTCTTCTTAAATACTTTAGTCATATATCCATTTCTTAACAACTAATATGTCATTATTACATTCCCATGTCATTAAAAATTGCATATCACAATATGCATTATAATTGAAGTATTCCAACTTAAAGCCCTATACTAACAGGACAAGGACACTTAAAAGACTTGAAATTGTACATTCAATGTAAATGTCTGAATAAACAAGTACAGGAGTCTACTCAACAATAAATCAGGATTTCATGGAGTCCTGCTTCAAGAGAATTAACTTGAGTAGAATCACATTTGACATACCTTTGTATATTAATAACTATAATCAATTCATTGATATACAGTAAACACACAAAATCCAAAATTAAGATTGCTAACTATCATTCAATTATCTTCAATCAATGCCTTTTGTTGAGTCTCCATGGAATTCAAAAGTGTCAAACATTGTCAGATTTTCTTTATATAAAGTTGTAAGTTGAGTACTTGCTTTAATATAAACAAGAAGTAGAAGTTTGACAATATGATACACAAAAAGAACTGCTTGGCTACCTTAAAAAACATGGTGGTTGTAGCAATAAGTAAGATAGGCATAATAATAAAAGTAAAATGGTGATGATGACAATGAGAGCTTTCAATTATTAAGTCTTTCTCAATGTCAGTCACTATTTCTAAACTGTAGTATAGATTCTTGCATTTAACCCTCTCAATATCTCTTAAAGTAGTAACAACTATTATCCCCATAAAGTAACAACCAATTTGAACTCAGAAAGCTTGAGTTCAAGTCCATTCTTTGTTCTAATGAGCTAGAAACAGCTTCAACAAACTTCTCAAGGTTAGAGCTTACAATGGTGTAAATTAAATGGGCTCTCATGTCCTATGGATTTGATGTCCACCTGAGAATATATATGTGGCCCCTCCCAACCCATGGAAACCATGCATTACTACATAATCATGTCACAGAATTTCATCATGGCTTCACAATCTTTCCCAGCACAGCAATCTAGGAAGTTACTAATAATTAGCATGTGTTAGCTTTTAGGAGGCTCTTTTGGTCTCCTAAAGCCTAAAGATGACATTATCACTTAGTTTAAGGCTAGGTATATATCTGGTAAGACTGTCATAAAGTTCAAAAGCTAAAGCTTCAAGGTTAGGAATGTAGGTCAGTGGTAAGTGCTTGCCTTCCAGCCGCAAGGCCCTGGGTTCAATCCCCACTACCATCACAAAGGAAAAAAAAAAAAAGCTAAAGCTTACCAGTGAGAAACTGGAACCCCTCAAGATGAGAAAGGTCTATTAAAACCTGGTATCCAGCTGAAAAGTCTCGAGAAACTGTGGTTGCTTGCCACCCCGGAAAGCTGGCTGACCTGAACACTCATATATCTCCACATCAACCAAAACTAAAGTTACCACTCTAATCTGCCAGTGTTGGGCTTGAAAACCCAAGCCAAGCCTCAAAGCTATCCTACCAAAGAGAAGACTGACTCCAAAAGGAAAATGTGGTGTATCCACAGGGGCGGGGTTAGGGGAAGGTCCATCTCCTGATTTTCATCTGGCCCAGATCCCATGTATCAAGTTAATGTTTCAGCTCAGTGAAAGTAATTACCAGCCAGGCTCTGCAATCCATCAATTCACCCTGGGCATTCCTGCTGATTCTTTCTTTGGTCTCTAGGACCCAAGAATCCCTTTTGTTGATCTGTAAGTGCAAAGGAAAGGTTGGTTGTTACTAGTTTCTCTCTTTCTATTCTAAATTTCTGCCAAGTAATTAGGAACAGAAAATGAACTATTTTCAAGTTTTTTAATGGATGCTAGGGGGCTAGAGTAGGCACAGAATTTCACAAAAATAAGATTAAAACCATACATCTTTGATGCTCCCCCCTCCAAGTAGAATGGACAAATGTAATTTGGCTCTAGGCTGTGAACTCAGAAACTTGATCCAAATCACCTCCATTCTAATTTAGGTAGTTTGGCAAGAGTACCTTAGTCAATAAATGAAATGTATAAGCATTTACAAAAGATGTTCCTATATCCTCACAACTACTCTAAAAGAAAGTATTACTAGCATTCCCATTTTATAGACAAGGATAACAAAGTTCAGAGTTAAAAGTACTACCCCTAAGATCACACTTAAACTGTAACAAAGCTGTCTCCTGACTCCACTATACTTCTATGTAATTATTCCAACTGTATCATGTTATAGACTAAAGGAATTCCCCTAACTGGAAGTAATATTTAAAATTACATTAAGATCTTTATGAATTAAAAAAAGCCATCCGAGGGCCTTAGGTGTGGGTCAAGTGACAGAGCACTTGCATGGAAAGCACAAGCCCTGAGTTCAAACCCCAATACTGCAAAAATAATAATAATCCATTCTAAGTGCCAACCATTGAGTAAGCATGTGCTTATTTGGAATTTCCCACTAAACTACATAGAAATGATAGAAGAATTCTGGAATTACCCTCAATGCTCCCTGCCACCCGTAAGTCCATTTTCATGGCATAACTACACCGACAAGCCTAAAAATATAATAAACTGATACCTACGGAATATATGAATAGCAGGTAGAAGGTAAAGAACCATGTAGCAATAATGACAACAATGGTTAGCCCTTTCTGTCACTTAAGCTGAAAACAGAACTGTTGTTTTTAGTCACCAGCAAACCCTGTGGTAAGCGATCTATCACCATACATACCCCACAATCTGAATGTCAAGTGGCTCAGAGCTGTGCAGTTTCAATGTTTCAGTAAATAATGCTTCCGTGAACATCAGACCATGTGTATGATGGTGGTTCCATAGAATATAATGGAGCTGAAAAATTTTACAACCTAGTGAACACATAGCTCAAGAGAAGGCAGAAGAAAAAGAAATAGCTGGAGAAGAAAAGCTTCACAGTGAAGAATTTGGGAGCCACTTTTACAGACAAGAGCCTTAAAAAATGTTGAAAACATGGCTCCAAACACCAAAAAGTGTTCATTAGTACAGAATGTTTGTGGGGCATTATCTGCTTATACGCAAATCTATGATGAAAAAGGAAACAAACCCCACAAACCACCAACCATTCTGAACAGAGAAGAGCCTCAGGCAGGTACTCAGGAAGGACTGAGAAGGCACTGGTCAGAGAAGAAGACAGCTCCACAGTGTTATTGCCCCTAAAGACCTTCCAGTGGGGCAGGATGTAGAGGTGGAACACAGTGATATCCACAATCCTACATGTAGACCTAGGCTAATGTGTGTTTGCCTATTGATTTTTAACAAAACGTTTAAAAAGCAAAAAAACCTTTAAAAATAGAGAAAATCATGCTTTTGGGATAAAATGTACAATGAGTTTTAAGCTAAGTATCATTAACAAAGCCAAAAAATTAAAACAATAAAGTTTATAAAGTAAACTATTATAGTAAGCTAAGGTTAATTTATTATTGAAGAATTTTTCTGTAAATTTAGTGCAGCCCAAGTATACAGTGTTTATAAAATCTACAGTCATTTACATTAATGTTTCAGGCCTTCATCTTCACTCCCAAGCCACTCACTTATCCACTCACAACAACTTACAGTCCTGCAAGCTCCATTCATAGTAAGTGCCTATAAAGTCCACCATTTTTCAAAAATCTTACATAATATTTTTGCTAGATCTTTTCTGTATGTAGATACATTTAGATACACAAATATTATTGTGTTATAACTGCTTATTGTATTTAGCACAATAACATGCTGTTTGTAGCCTAGGAGAAATAGGCTATACCCTACCTCCTTGAAAAGCAGGCTATACCATCTAAGACAGTGTAAGGACACATTATGATGTCCACATGACAACCACATCTCTTAAATCTCCTAGTGTCATCCCCATTCTTAAGTGACACATGACTGCATAGACATTAAGAAGCCTGAATTTCCCATGATATAGAACGAAGGTTCCAGGGTCTACAATTACAACAGGCAATGTCTGGCTCCTTAGACATATCACACTCAGCTATAATATACTTACATACTTTTCTTTATTCTGATTCTACAGATAATATATTCTAGCTGTACACAATCTGAAAAATGTGTCAAAATGTAAAGAAGCAGAAATCAGTCATAATCTCAGGGACAACAGCTGGTAATACTGGCCTTTTCATTTCTGGTTCCTCCCCCCCTCCCACACACACACTAATGAATTATTTGAAATATTCCTTTTTACAGAATAAGGAAGGATTACTTTTGATAGGCAGTAACAAGAAGAGTAACATAAACTAGAAATTAATTCCATTGTACTTAGAGAATTAATTAAAATTTCCTGGGTCCAATCTTGATGCTAAACTACAGCAGAAATGCAAAAACATCTTTTGGAAAGGCCAAGAAGAGTCAACATCTAACTCGAAAGTGTGACACCCATAAAACTAGGATAAACAATAATCTATGCAAAGCAAAGAGGTACTCCTTGCCAGAATTTTTGTTTTTCAGAATTTTACTTTCTAAAACCTTATTTTTTGCATTGAAACCATTAACCCTAATTATCCTATCAGTAAGAAAGAAGCTCTCCTTAGCCCAGAGAAGAAACAATGTATGGGAAGCAGGGGAGGCAAAAGGTCCTATTTCTTTCTCAAAATTACTCTGCTAGAGAATACAAAGGAAATATTATCTAAGAATGGAATATGTGTCTTTTTTGCACAAGTATATAGCCGGGCAACACAGCTTCAGTCCTCTGCAATTTGAAATGGAAAGCTCAAAAGGAAGGCTAATTGGGGAGTGATCTGCTTTTCCCATTGAAAAATAGAGACTTAAATGGAACCAGTGACCTCTGCAATGCTAAGAGTCACTGGAACAGAAATACATTTTGTAGCAATTTCATTGATCACGCATTTCTAAGGTATCTATTCAAGAGGGGCTCATATAGAAAAAGTACTTTTTGTACTACCGCTGAATAAACACAAGTTTTAAATAATTTTCAGCGCAACAGACCTGGAATTTTATTCCCCACAGCCTAGTGATTTTAAATGCCCTGTGACCCTCTTAAGCACTGCCAACATCAACATCTGGTACCTGCACAAAGAAAATAGATCCTAAAAGGTTTTTAAAAAACCTTTCATTTTCTTCATATGCTTTAAATATGTTTCTAAGGTAGTTCTCTTTCTCCTCTTTCTGAATACCAAAACAGTAAGAAGCTATTCTATCAGGCAGCAGTATTATGTGTTACAGGCAAAAGGGAAAAAATAATTACCTAAAATCAGGACATTGCCAGGGTTTTCTCATCCCTCCTCTAAGTTTATAGAGAGGTGTCTTCAATTTGACTAAACCCCTAAACCAATGTAATTATCTTCTCACAAATGTATGTATGCACTTGTTAAAAAAGTAAAAAAAAAAAAAAAAAAAGACTTCAAAATCCAAGGCATTTCCTCTACACAGTTCTTCATTCTTCTCTGATTTTTGTTCTTCCTTCTGTATTTTCTCATAGAAGATTTTTTATGATCTTTGAATCCCTCAAAGATTTTAGCAAAAATAATAATGATGCTCCTATGGATAATTAAGATATTCATTACCTTTAAACACTATAGTACAGCAAACAAACCACTGGAAAAATCTCAAAAGAATTCAAGCTCATTCATTAACTTCAGAGAAGTTCCAAGTGACTTTTAAAAGGTAAGTCACTGTTATAAGCAAAACTGACCACACTTCACAAAGAACAGACTGAAAAAAGCTAAAGTATTTTATTCTAAAACACCCTCTTTAGTTAAAAAAGAAAAATGCAGAAAGAAAAAAACTGCTTCACAGAAGTTAGCTGAAACAAAGGATTAATCCCTTACTATATAGCGTCAAGACAGTTGCCGGGAGGTTCCTTTCTATACAAACTCCTCCCTGTCTGTGGTTCTGTCTCACGTCTGAAGTTATCATTACATAAGTAAAACGGCCCATTAAAGTTTTTCCCCTATTTCAGTACCATTAACTACTAATACACAAGACATGCAATGGGCAGTCCACACCTAATGCATCAATTTTTTTTTCACAAGCACTCATGTTACACCACACGCCTGCTTAGTATCCGAAATAAAATGACTGTCTTCTACATTAGAGAAATATTCTCCAAGAAAAAAACATAGCCATCATTCATTTCTTAGCCAAACACACTCGTGGAGATTCGGCATTGGGGCTGGTTAGAGTGCAAATGTATTAGCTGCAACTTCAGCAAGTGCCTGTCATGTTGAGTAGCATGAAGAAGAGAGATAGTAATTATTGCCGAGAAACCATTAGAGGGCTCCTTAGTAAAACAAGATGCCCGAACAAACTAATGGACCAACAGTCCACTGCAGTGTCTTTTCCTATTCCATTTAGCTGCATGTCAGTCCTATCGAATCATCTGACACTTGCATTGCAGGCAGGCTCAGTACAATTAGCAAGATCCTCTATTCCCATACCCTTTCATTGCAGCTACAATAAGCAACTACATTTGTACAGCCAGAAATGATTCTTGATTGTTTGTGACACAGTGATCTAAAGCTGTTCCTGTGAGGGAAATGCTCACTGGTCTTGCTCCAGCAACATAAGCTTCAGGTCCTGTCATGTTTGTACCAGAGAGGCAACGCCTTAGAGTGAAGACAACTTACTTCACAATGCCCATCTCTAGCAAGACATGAGAAACCAAAGGATTTTTGCAAAAAACACACTATTTTGA